AACAATGGGCTCAAGCAGAGGGACAACTGTGAGGATGGTGCAGGCCTGGGCAGTGTTTCGTTCTGTTGTGCACAGTGGTATCAACCCAAAGGCACCTAAAGCAACAACATTGTGTTTAGGAACACCAGAAAACCACGAGAAAAGGATGTTCAGGAAATCAACCCAAATGCCCTCTTTATTTGCATTACACTAAGACTTGGCACTCATGAGTCAACAAACCCACATGCTCTTTGTATGATCAAAAGAATCGGTCTTCCTAGATAATTGCACTGCCAGCAGTAAGGAATCTTTCTGGCACATGATGGCTCAAGGCAGTGACTGAAAGCAAATAAACAGTCATTACAGGATTAAGATTTAAACACAGTTTCAATATTGAGTTTCTCCCAACAAAATGCATCTTCCTAACTCCAGAGAAGCAGTTACATTCACCAAGGGAAATCCAATGTCAAGATACTGGGCCACCACAAAGTGTTAGAAATTAGAGACCTACATGTAGGGCACATGAACAAGTTTGGATACTTGTTGACCCCAAACTTACTGCCAATGAGTTGATTCCAACTCATAGCCACCCAATAGAACAGAGTGAACTGCTTCTTAGGATTTCTGAGACTGCAAATCTTTACAGGAGCAGACAGCCTCATCTTTCTCCCATGGAGCAGCTGGTGGGTTTGAACTGCTGACCTACAGCCTAACAATTAACTCAGTATGTTGCCAGGGCTCCAGCTTTTTGAGAAGAATTTTTATGTTATATAACATATATGTTACATATGTTATATAAAGAGACTTTTCCCCAGCTTTGTCTCCCCCAAAGATATGCCAAGCATTAGAGGCTGTTTGCCAGCACATGGTGGGAGGTAAGATGCTTAGAGATATCCTCTCTTAGGAGGCATTAAGCCACTGTCTGGTCCCACCACAGGTAGGGTTCACTCCCTGCTGGTAAGGACAATGGGCTACTTCTCACTGAAGGCTTGGGACCATCAGTCTGGTCCCTGTATGTGGGGTTCACACCCTACTGACAATGGTTTCTATGGAGATCCAGAGAACAGGTCAAACCTGCTCAGTGACATCCAAAATTAGGCTGTCATCCTGAATCTAAGATCCTCCCATCTTGTCACATGTGCACCCCTAATACCTCCCCTTCCTATTGCGTGGATACCCTTAGATTGTCCCCCTCATTACTGTATAACCTATCGTGCAACCCCCTTCCTGTGACGTATGTCTTTACCTGTAATTAGGGGGCCTGCAAACTCCCCAAAGATATATAAAAGCCTGGGTTAGCAATAAAGAGAGCTCCCCCATATCCTTCCTCTCTCCTTTCTCCACTCCCCCTTCCTCTCCCCTGGTCCTCACTCCCCTGTTCCCTTTCCCCTTGTCCTCCTTCCTCTCCCCCTCTCTCCTGCCCTCTGGTCTCCCATCTCCACATGGACCACCAAGCGGGGCAGAGGTGAGCATGCTACTATGAAATGTGTCTGACTCCATTATTTCAATTTCTCTTCTATCTCTCAGGCTCTCTATGACTTTATTATAATCTTTATATATATCAATCATACAATTGAGCCTATCGAACCCGAGATTATTTGTGGGGGGCTGGCGTTTCCCTCACAGTTATACTTATTTCAATTCTGTACCAGGCCAATGATCAGCCCTGCAGATAGAACCATTAATGAGGCAGCAGACGAAGCATGGTTCGACCTTTGCTTTGGAGCCAAATGGACCTGAATTCCTATCCCAGCCTTGCTGCTGATGACATGGCTTTCTTCTGGAGGAACTTCCCTAAATCGCAGAATCCTTGTCTAAAAACTGGAAGCATTTAAATTTACCTTTTAGGTTTCTCGTGAGAATTAAGTGAAGGGGGGAATGCACAGAACTTAGTACACAGTTACAATGTAGTCAGTGGTCTATTATTAATAAAGTATGATTCAAATATGTAAAAGTGGTGGTAAAATGTGAACACGAGCTAATGTGACTTTTTTTTTTTTTAAATCTCAAAAATGGCATTTTCCCCTGTGGTTTGAGCTTTTAGAAAAGGCTTTTCTCAGAAGTTCGTACTAGACATTGACTGGCCTTCGAGAATGAATGCAAGTCATTCAGGTAAGGTAGCGGTCTCGGCTACATATCTGGCTTGCAGGATTGAAACCAGTAAAGAAACCTTTTCAAAAACATTAAGAAGAAGAATTAGGAGTTAGTACTTTATAGTCTGGATAGTGCTATTTGTTACTGAAACAGTTATTTTATATGAAAGGAAATCCCTACACTTTGAATAGTTATAAATAGTATAACTCTTGAGCTAGAAGTTTCTGTTGATAAACTTTAGCAAAGTTGTAAAGACCATAAGTAGAGAGGCATCTGAAGTTTGAGATCAAAGTTCATAAATGGAATAGTTTTAGATTTCCTTTAGTTGGCCAAAGAGAAGCTTGTGACCGAAAGATGAATGCTGCTGTGCG